GGGGGCTGCTGTGGTGGAGGAGAGAGGGAGAGACCCCCCTCCTTCCCAGCCCCAGCTTGGGGGCTGCTGTGGCAGGGTAGAGACAGCACATCCATCGCATTAGAAAGGTAAGACTACTGCTATTAAAATATGAGTTGTGTGCTTTTATTTGTAGAACAAAAAAAGTTTATTATTTTGTAGAACAAAAAAAGTTTATTATTAAGGGTTTTTTTTATATAGCGCTTTTATCCAAAGCGCTTTACAATAGTTAGCTAACGGTACAAACCACATTTGGAAAGATCATTAAGTGGTTCGCCGAGACCCTCAGCAATTTTCAAGTGGTCCGTGGAAAAAAAAGTTTGAGAACCACTGTCCTAGAGGATACTTGAGTGATGCAGTCATCTTCCTCCATAGTCCTAGCCCTGGCTGGCTGGGATGTGTTGGAACTCTGCACTTTCAAGTGCAGCCAAATAACATGTTTGTTTCAATACATTGTGTAATGGGTTTTGTAACTCAGTCGTGTGTTTCCTATATTAGCCCAGGTCATTTCCATGGCTTTGGAAACTGGCAGTCCCTAATTGGTCTTCACGGGTTTGTGGTGTGGTTAATGGATGGGGAAATCCCCACTCTGGTGTTTTTATGCTTTTCTTTTTCTCTCTGACTCTTAGGGTTATAATTTTAAAATAGCCCATTTGACATTTTAAAAAGCTTTCACTCTTGAGTTGGGACAGGGTATTAAATAGCCTGAGGTCTGTGCTCCCTCTTCTGGGCTCTAATGACCAGAGAACAGCAGACTTTGATCAGATACGACAGAAAGAAAAATGGTAAATTACCATTTTCCTGGGAAATCTTTGTTTTGATAAACGTGGGCTGCTGCAAGCTAGTGTTGCCATCAGAACTTGCCCTTTGCTAACCCACGCAACTACTAAGCTATAAAGCTACTAAGCTATAAAGCAATTTATTAATTGCACTGAAACCCAAGAAGCAAAATTTCAGTACAGAGTAAAATATCACAGCTGTAAATTATAAATACTAAATCTATAAACACTTGACAGTTGGCCTTACAAAAGGGGTTTCTAGTGTAAACTCAGACAATATGAATTGCAGCCTTCTGCAACCCCCCCGGGTATATAGCCCACACTGTGCTAAGATGCAATAGCAAAAAAACTTACTACACGACCCCAGGAATGGGGACCGAAGCCTGAGCCCACCTGATCCCTGCCACCCTGGGGGGGAGAGGGGCAAAGCCCCACTGCCTCGGGGGGGAGAGGGGCAAAAGCTGAAGGCCTAGGGCTTCAGCCACAGACAGGGGGCCTGTAACCTCAGCCCCACTGCCCAAGGCTGAAGCCCTCCGGCTTCCGCCCCAGACAGTGGGGCTCGGGCTTTGGCTCCTGGCCCCAACAAGTCTAAGCCAGCCCTGGCGACCCCATGAAAACAGGGTTGCGACCCACTTTGAGGTCCCAATCCACAGTTTGAGAACCGCTGCACTAGCGTAAGCCCGATTTGTGTCTGCACTAGGGGTTTGTATCAGTGTGACTACACTATGTAGTTACACTGATGCAAATTTGCCTTGTCTAGACAAGCCTTTACATTTTTGCAGCGTGGGGGAGAAGCAGTTTATTTTGAATGTTGGGAAAATAACCAAAACCAAGAAAGAATTTTGCTTAAGTCAGCACAGTCCTGGTCTGACTCTGATGTCAGAATCTGCTGAGTTTCCCCTCTTGGAGAAAGCAGATCACCAGAACTGAGTTGGTCTCAAACGTTTTACACCATATATTGAAATAAAAACCTGAAATGCGCTTGACTAAACATATCCTACTGGAGGTTTGGTGATTTATGAGTCAGGGGGCTGGATGGCTCAGGTGACGGACAGTAGAGTTCCCTGGCAGTCATTGGGGGAAAATGTGGTAAGTCTTGGCAAAAAATGCAAGCTACAATTTTTCTAAAGTCTCATGTCCTGTTATATCGTGCAAACCCCTTTCCCCCGCCAAAAAAAAATGTTAAAGGACCAGGAACAGAAGAAAATGGGTCATAGCAACAGCTCTTAAGCCCTATTGATGAGGGCCTGGTCTGCATCTTCAGCTTCTCTGGAGGGGAAAGTGTAGCCGGCAGTCCTAGGAGTGGGGAAGAGGGAGTCGTGGAATCCATTGCAATAATAACCACTGGAGTCAGTGGCCACTGACTCCTATGATAAACACCCCGGCTCTATGCCAGAGGTTAGGAGCCGCTGTCTCTGGTGGTTACTGTGACATCTGTGACTGTTGTCACCTGAGATAAATAGCCACGCTTACTAATGAGAGGGAGAGCCAGTCACTGGTTCCAGTCCAGGCCAGGTCAGTAGTAGCTAAAAGTTATTACCATCCGATGGCTGTTAACTGGCCTGTATGAAATGAGTTTGGTGCTCAGCCCGGTTCCCACTTGGCAGGCATCCACATCACAAATACCACCACCTTAATTGGCATTGAAGCGTATTCTTGCTGGCATTCTCAGCTTTGAGACCAAGGGCTGCATGGGCCATATAGTGTGAACTCCCTACTCACCTGTAGAGGTTGTCTCTTCAGGTTATGGCTCAGGCACCTATCTCAGAGCCCTGTTCTCTCTCTGTGTGTGTATATATAGAGACCTTTAGTCTCCAATGCTTTCAGCCTGGCATCTTTTATTTGTACTAAAATCACACTGCCACTGAAAAAGAGAGACAATAACAATTGACAGAATGTGGTTTTTTCCCTCGGCATTAGTTGGCTTAGTTTAACTAAGTCCCCTTATGGGTCTCTGATCGAAATCCCATCAGTGAATATGGCACTGCCCGAGTTAACAGGAGAGGATTTGGTTTGATCCTCCGCTGATCATTGCTCTGTATCTTGGAAAATCAATCTGTGCTCTGGCAGATGGCGTGCTGTCCCCTGGAAAGCAGGCTTGAGCCTTTGGGGTGGGCTGGGTAAAGCTGCCTGATTTCAGTGGCTTTCAAAATGAACATCCGTCCAATGATCCAGAGGGCTGCGAGCAGGGCCGGCTTTAGGAAGTGCGGGGCCTGATTCGAACAGTTTCGACGGGGCCCCGTCTAAACTTAAAAAAAAAAAAAAACACGTAAAAAAACCCCGCGGGGCGTGTATTCACCCGGTGGCGCTCCTAGTCTTCGGCAGTGGGTCCTTCACTCGCTCCAGGTCTTCGACGGCACTGAAGGACCTGCCACCGAAGACCCAGAGCGAGTGAAGGACCCGCCGCCGAAGTGCCGCCGAAGACCCAGAGCGCGGCCGGGTGAGTAAAAATTAAAAAGGAGCCTCTAGCCAAGGAACGGATTCTCGGCCACTTGCCCCCACCCCGGCGGCCCTGCCACTGGGCGTGGGGCCCTCTTAGGCGCGGGGCCCGATTCGGGGGAATTGGTGGAATTGGCCTAAAGCCAGCCCTGGCTGCGAGGGTTTGTTACCATGCTAAACACTGTGTTTTGGTAAGGCTAACACTTCCGTTACTTGAGATAGGGCGCCCTGGGGTGGGAGATTTCGCAGCAGTGCTGGCAGGCTGCTGTGGTTGCACCATGTTATGGAGGGTAGAGTTTGCAAGTGAATGATTCTCTTTGAAACATTATTATTATTATTTAATTGCATCCCGGTAGCGTCTAATGCCTCCAGCCAGGATTGGGGGAACGCACTATTCTGGGCACTGTACATACCCAGAATAGAAAACAGTCCCTGCTGCAAAGAATTCACAGTCTTACCGACAAGACAGGCCGACAGGTACAGACAAACAACAAAAAAGCAATTTGCTAAGCAGCAGCATTCCAAATCTTCCAGGAATGGGCTGAGACTGTGAGCCTAAGTATTGGCATATAAACACGCAAACATCCATGTAGTGGCGTTGGAACAATTTGTATAGTGGGGGTGCTGAGAGCCATTGAACCAAACTGTAAACCCTGTATATGATGGAAACCACTTCAAGCCAGGGCGTGCTGCCGTGCGTCCAGCACCCCTAATTCCAGCAGCCCTGCCTACACACACATTACAGTTTACCCCTCCTTTAGCCCCCTTTGCATCTTCCTAGGCAACTCTTAGATCCAGTCAGTCCTCGTCTTCACTAACCTCACCTAGAGAAATCTTGCAGAGTAATACCTGCCTTCTTACTCTTCAGAATGGCATGTATTCTATCCTCTTCCAACCCCTGCTGACGTACAGAACGAGAGGCTGAGTCCAAGACCCA